TAGCAACCCTATAAAAGGTTCTGACTCATAGCAACCTTATAAAAGGTTTCTAAGGAGTGGCTGGTGGATTTGAACTGCCAACCTTGTGATTCAAACTGACCTTGCAGTCCAGCACATTATCCCTCAGCATTCATTAATCCAAACTCATCATACTCAGCATGCACTGGTATGGCCACACCAGTTGTTAAGCTATTTAAATGCTTGCAAGCCAATTGGTAAAACCTCTGCCACAGTCCCCCTTTCTAAAGGAGCTTTCCATAAGTTCTGGCACTTTGGGAGGGGTCTCCAGAACCCTATTCTGATGGTTAGTGTCTATGTCACATCAAGTGTAAAATATTCTGACTATGTCCTGGTGACAGATCTAAAGGACTTGGGTTTTTGCTGTCACTGAGGAGATGATCTGGAAGAGATGCTGGAGGTAGCAGGAAAGTGTGGTGAGTGCAAGGATGAAGGGATGTACTGGCCTTCGTGGTGGCTCTGAGGATGGTGACATGGATCAGCTTGGGTGATCCGAAGTCTTCACTGAAGGCAAGAAGTTTGCACTAGAAGGTGTCAGGAGAACATCCTATTTTCATCACAAAAATTACTTTTGTCTCTCTTTTTTCATTCTCACTACCTCTACCCTACTTCTGAGCCTGAAGTCCCATAAGCTTCATAATTAAGTAGATTTCCTGAGTCAACAATTTTATCCGCTCTGTGATTATCTTACTCAACAACTTTTAGTAGCAAACTGTGGTCCCATCTCCTTGAGACATCTAGGAACCAGTATCATATAGTCCTAGTTTCTGCTTGCAGTCCTTTCCAGTTAATCCAGGGCAGGTGCCGGGCACATCTGCCAAGTGAAATGCTTCCTATGCTAGACACTGCTTCTGCTGTTGCTGTTGCTTGAAAGTTGTGGATCCTTCCTCGAGTGTTTCAACACTTTTCAAATACATCTTCTTTTGTGAAACTGTCTTGTGCCTATGGTCCTTCTATCTTCAGACTTTTCTTCCACATCAGTGTGTAGATGGAGTGGAGACACATGTGCAACTCACATACATCGATATTAATAGTCTTTTTCTTTCAGTTGTTGTTCTAAGAACTTTTTATGTATTACCTTGTTTCATCCTCAATATTTCATCCGCAATATAGGGGCAATTCTTATCTCCATTTTCTAATGAGAAAACAAAAAGGAGCCACAGAGAAGTGAAATAACTTTCCAAAGGACATACAGCAGAGAAGACATGGAGCTGGCAATGTAAACAAGGAAGCTGATCTCAGGAGCCTTTGCTGTAACCACTGTTTTATAGTGACTAATAACTCTCAAAGAAAGAGAAAAGAAAAGAAAAATTTCTTCATGTTATTATTCAACATATACTACTTGGTTTCAAGATTATGTCCTTATTTAATTATTTTATTTCCTCTATCTAGGCTGAAATTTCTTGGGGGAGGAACTCTGGGTCTCATATCCTCTAATCTCAGAGTTATTATTAGTAAGATATGGGCAAACAAAAAGAGTGTTCCTGACCCAACGTCATTCGTTGGAAGGCCTCCTGATTGTGAATTGGCCATTAATGAGCTCACCTTTCAGTAGTGTTTCCCCTAAGTAAACACACATGGCCAAACCCACTTGCAGGATCAGGTCAACAGTCCTACATAGACTACAAGAAAGCTGCACTTCGTTTTATGATTCAAATTGTGGCTGAGAATTGTCACTTATCTTTTTCACAATAGGACAGACACTATGTAATTTCTTCTTGCTAGAGCTGGAGAAAACTAAAGCGCCCTAAGGTCATTCGCCCAAATTCATAAGTCTGGTCTAGGATCCCAGTTCTGGATTCTAGACAACTGTGTAGTAGTTCTGCCATGATATCATATACTCAGAATCAATAAATGGAATAAGTTGTTGACTAATCAGAAAACTCTAGAACAGCCTTCCCCTACATTTTTACCATGATGCAAAATGAAATCATGACATCATAATGGGGCCACAGAACTTCCCTATTTGTATTTTTAGAACTTGCTAGATTTTTCCAAGGGTGAATTGGTCAGTTCTTGTATTGAAGAAAAGTCATCATGGAGAATTTGTAATACTTACATTTGCAACATATTTGACAACCGATTTGTTCAAGAATCTAGAGAACAAATGATAGATGTTGTTCAATGGCAAAACCCAAAACAGAAACGTTTGTTCTTAGTTGCTGTTGGGTCCATTCTGACTCCATGTGTGTCAGGCTATGACCTTACAGAGCAAATCACCAGGCCTGTCTTTTGAGGGGCTCTGGATGGGTTCCAACTGACAACCTTTTAGCTAATAACAGAGAAGCTCTTAACTGATTGCACCACTCAGTAATTCCTAAGGCACTTTTGGAATTGGCAGGCAGTAAAGAGTATGTGCCATTGACTTAGAGGTCAGAGGATTCTTATATGTGTGTGTGTGTGCTGTTGTTGTTGTTAAGTGCCATCGAGTTGGTTCTGACCAATAGTATAGGGTGTCTGAGGAACGACTGGTGAGCTTGAACCGCTGACCTAGAGGTTCAAACTGACTTTGCAGTCTAGCGCATTAACTTGCAGTGCCAAACCAGAACTCCCATTAGATATATATATATACACACACATACACATAGAAAGAGAGAGAGAGAGAATTGTTAAGAGCCTTCAAGTCAGTTCTGACTCATAGTGACCCTGTATAGGGTTTCCTAGGAGTAGCTGGTGAGCTTGAACCACCAACCTTTTGGTTCAAAGCGACTTTGCAATCCAGCACATTAACCCATAGCACCACACCAGGATATCTATCTATCTATCTATCTATCTATCTATCTATCTATCTATCTATCTATCTATCTATCTATCTATCTATAGTTTAGAGCTGGTTCTGACCCATAGCAACACAATGTGGGGGTTCAGAAATTTTAAAATTTTTATAGGAGCAGAAAGCTTCATCTTTCTTCTGCAGAGTGGCTGGTGGACTCAAACCATGGACCCTATGGTGTGAGCTATAGGATCGGCACTGGACTGCTAACTACAAGGTTGGCAATACAAATCCACTACCTGCTGCTTGGAAACCCTGTACAGGTTTTCGACTGTACGTAACAACAATATATAAATAATATCAAGAAAAATGGAGAAAAGATTAAAGTTGTCAAAGACTTCATTTTGCTTGGATCAGTCATCAACACTCATGGAATCAGTAGTCAAGAAATCAAACAATATATTCCTTTGGACAAATCTGCTGTACAAGACCTTTTTAAAGTGTCCATGAGCAAAGATGTCAGTTTGAAGACTAAGATGCTCTTAATCCAATCAATCCATGGTATTTTCAAGAACCTCATATGCATATGAAAGTTGGACAATGAATAAAGATGACCATAGAAGAATTGATGCATTTAAGTTATGGTGTTGGTGAAGAATATTCAAAGTGCCCTGTACTGCTAAAAGAGCAAACAATCTGTGTTGGAAGAAGTACTGCCAGAATGCTCTTTAGAAGCCAGGATGGCCAGACTTCGTCTCTCATACTTCGGACATACTATCAGGAAGGACCAGTCCCTGGAGAAGAATATCATGTTTGGTTAAGTGGAGGGTCAGCGAAAAAGAAGAAGACCCCCAAGCAGATAGATTTGCACAGGGGCAGCAGTACTGGGCCCAAGTGTAACAATGATCTTGAGATTGACAGAAGACCGGGCAGTGTTTTTTAGTTCTGTTGTGTATAGGGTCTCGATGAGTCCGTACTGACTCCATGGCACCTAATAACAACAAAAAATCTATCTATATCTATCTATAGATAGATATAGATATATATATGTTGCTATATAATATATATGTTTATATGTGTTATATATAACATATATGTTGATATATATATTTATATTATACACATATATGGTAGTGGTGGTGGTTATGTGCTGTGGAGTCTGTTCGATTCATAGCGACCCTGTACAGGGTTTCCGAGGATGTAAATTTTTACAGAAGCAAAAAGCTTCATCTTTCTCCCGCGGAACAGCTTGTAGTTTCAAACTGCTGACCTTGAGGTTCACAGCCCGATTCGTAACCACTACGTTATAGATATAGATAATATAGATATATAGTTAAGTGCCACTGAGTCAGTGCCGGCTCATAGTGACCCTGTATTGAGTTTCCGAGGCTTTGAGGGAGCAGAAAGTTTAATTTTTCTACCTCTAACGGATGGTGGGCTCGAACTGCTGATATGTGGTACGCCATCCAGTGCTTCTTACAGAACCATAGCGATCCTACCTACCTATCTGCCAAAATTTTTGTACTCATACTATTTGTAAGTGGACTATTAATTACCCAAGTATTGCCATCGTTTCTCTTTTCCGCTAGAATACACCTGGCGCTTACAGATGAGTGTCGCCCGGAAATGAGTTGATCAGGGAAGGAGCAGGGTATTATTGAAGAGCAGAGCCTGTCCGAGACCATACAATGGTCTAAGTTTGAATGGTTTAATTCAGAGTTTTGGTTCCGGCAAGCCAGTAAACATGTCATAATCTTTAAATCCAAATAACCCTAGTAGCAATGAATACGCCTTCTTCTACAACCATCACCTCCGTTCCCAATCCGGACTCGCCCTCGTGGGTCCCAAGCCCGCTGTCGCCCCCTTTAAGAGCCTGCTCCGCGGGACTAACGTTCGAATCGGCCCAGGCGCCCCACCTCACTCTCTGATTGGCCAGAAGCGGAGCACAGGGGCGTGCCTGCTGGGCCCGGAACGGTTGGCGGCTCATCGTGATTGGCTGGAGCTCAAGGCTCGTATAAAAGGCACGGGGCTGCCAGTCTCCTCTCAGTTGGTGACCGGACCTGAAAGCGGGCAGTTGTTTTTAGTGTAGAGGATAGTGGGTCGTCTAGCGCGTCACCGAAGTCGTTTCTCTTCCGAGTCTTCAGATTTTGAGGGTCCACCCACGGGGCGGGCTTGTCTACGCCTCTCTTTCCCTTCCCAGCTTCTGAACTTGCGACCGGGTCTCACCCCTCTCACCTCCGCGCCAGCCCCGGGAAAACGGGGAGGCAGGATGGAGTTCAAGCTGGAGGCTCACCGCATCGTCAGCATCTCCCTGGGCAAGATCTACAACTCACGAGTCCAGCGCGGCGGCATTAAACTGCACAAGAATCTCCTGGTCTCACTGGTGCTGCGCAGTGCCCGCCAGGTGTACCTGAGTGACCCGTGTCCCGGACTCTACCTGGCTGGCCCCGCGGAGAGTTCATTGGCGCCGCCACCGCCGCCGCAGCAGCAGCTCGGGGAGCCAATGGCGAAGTCCTCCGCGGGCTGGGGGGAGCCACCCCCGCTGGCCGCCCGCGCCGCCTGGCAGGAGCCTGAACCGCAGCCGGAGCGCCCCGTGGGCCCAGGCCAGCCGGGGACAGATGACGCGGAGCCGCCAGTCTCCGTGACGGGAACCAGGGACGTTCTTCAGAGCAGAGAGACTGAGGCGGCAGAACCTGCCTGGCGCCGCGTGGAGAGACCGCGAGAGGTGGAGGCCAGAGGACCCGGAGGTCCCGCCGGAGCCTTGGACGTTTCCCCCCAGGGACCACGGGTGGCGCGCTGCCACTGCTTCTGCCCCCCAGGCGGGGAAGACCGGCTGGGCGCGCAGGTCGGGGCCCACCGCGTTGACTGCTGCTGCTCGTCCCAGCCCTCCGATACCAAACCCCCTGCGCCGCCCCTGGTCTGCCCCAGGAAGCGCAGCGCGGCCGGAGTGGGCTGCCCAGCGCCGGGCTCGACCCCGCTGAAGAAGCCCCGCCGGGACTTGGAGGAGCAGCCGGGCGGGGGAGACAACGAGGAGGAGATGGACACCGGGAATGTAGCGAACCTCATTAGCATTTTCGGTTCCAGCTTCTCGGGACTCTTACGGAAAAAAAGCCCCGGAGGCGGCAGGGAGGAAGAAGAGGGTGAAGAGAGCGGGCCGGAAGCCGCCGAGCCTGGGCAGATCTGCTGTGAGAAACCGGTCCTGAGAGACATGAACCCTTGGAGCACAGCCATCGTGGCCTTCTGAGTTCCCCAGGTTCCCGTGAGGGACCGAGGTTGAGCAGCCGGTGTCCTTGAAGTGAGGGCTGGGCGCCCCCCGGACCGCAGGCGCCGGCACTGGGGAGACTGGTTGCTGCTGGGCAGCAGAAACTACCCTTGGGCTTTGGTGGCCCTGCTGTGTGTGCCATGACTCTCTCGGGAGTCTCATCCTGAGACTTGGGCCAAGTTCGAGGGTTTGGGAAAGAGAACGATCGTTAACTTTTGTGTATGTGTTTGTCTGTGTGTATGTAAGTTTGTCTTGTTGAATTAAGATTTATTTTGTCCTCCTTGAATGCTACCCCTTCCCCGGGGTTTAAGAGATTGGGGGCAGACAGGGACTTTCCTCCGACGACAGCAGCAAGAAGGAAGCAGAGAAAAGGTCTGGGGAGTTCCCCATTAGATCTCGGGGGAGGAAGGGACTTTACACACGCCCCTCACTTGAAAGTTAGAACCACGCCAGAGCCTCAGTGGCGTTTCCTCACAGGATTTCCCAAGACTCTAGGGATTTAATCTGGAGCTAGAGACTTGTATTATGTCTCTCCCCACCTTTCTCGCTCACTGAAGAAACGTTTATACCCTGTGTTTACTCTGGAAAGGCGAATACTGACAGCCCTTCTCTTCCTCATAGGGTAAAAGATACTTGATAAACGTTCCAGAAGAGTTCAAGCTTAGAAATGCGGAGTTTATAGAGAAAAGTTATATTTTTAAAAGCTCTAAGTCGAACTACTGCATAGTGCTTTTAAAAAGTGTTTAATGAAACAAAGTTTACAGACAGAAGCCCTAAGTGGAAAGACCTTATGGTTTTGTAGATAGAGTGACTCCAGTCTTTGTTGTATAAAGGTTGGGGGAGCTGATAAGGTTTTTTGTACAGTATTTTCTCCTTCGATGTATTGATTTTTGTATAAAAATGTAACTTTACGTGTCTAACACGTATTAAATATTTTGAAGCAACCTCACTGGCTCCTTATCTGTAATCACCCGTCTCTGTTGGGAAGGAAGCGGGATGAGGGGAACTAAGGTCTCCACCAAAAAATTGAAGGTGTGGTTCTTAATATCAGTCATGCACAGATGGGGGACATTGTTTGCAGACTTCACTGAGTATCAAAAGAGACACATTTTCAAGTTTTCCTTCCATATCAGAGGACTGGTATTAGAATGTCAGTGGCTTGCCTGTGTTGAAACATGCCACTTAGAACTGCCCTTTAAAAGTCTATTGAGGCCAGTTGGATTTTCAACAGTCTAATTGAATGCTATCTGTTTAATATTAAATAACTGTAACATCAACTTTTAAAGCCTTTCTCATCCACAAAGGTAGTTTTCACAAAAAAATTGTTTTAGTCTCCATTAAATTATAAACCATGGATCATCTTTAGCTTTGTTATGGGGGCAGGGAGGGGGATTGTTTAGATAGTAGCTAGCTTAAGGAGTCTAGTATTGACACTAGGAAGCTGATGTGACTGACTTGCCCAACTGGTCAGGTCCACCTCTGCATTCCAGTGGATGTCAGGTTGGAAATTTTAAGTGCTTCTCTCCACTCCCACTCCCCTTTTATACATAGAAAGCAAATGCCTCAGTGAAAGGGAAATGGCTCCTTTCAAACAAGATAAAGTGGGAGGCCAAAGAGGGCTAGGCAAATACCATCTCTCACTTAAAACTTCCTGATTTGCTCCTGTAACCCAAATGGTGATATCACTGTTTGGATCGTGGTAAACAGGTAATGACAACCAAGTCATCAGTTGATTTTACTAAAATTACTGCATTCAAGAAAGCTTTTTGTCTAGGAAATAGTGTTTAATATTTGAAGCATATTGAATATTTCAGAAGCAAGCCAATTAGAGAATTTAAAAGATGGCACTGGTCTATAACAACTTAGAAATAAATAAGAATTTTTAAGAGATCGGAGAAACTGAAGAAATTAGTTCACAGCTTTAAGTAAATGTTATATGGCCTTGGAGCCAAAGGGTGCTTTGACTTGGAAGTTCTGTCATAGCTGAGTTGGCTAGTGTTTTGACAATTTTGTAAATCTATTAGTGGCTCCTCAAGCATAAGGGTTCAAAAAATAACTTCTTATTTTATGTCCACCATAATAAATTCTTAGAATTAAACATTTTCTAGCTAGGCTTTTCTAAAAATTGGCTTTTTTTTTCTTTTTTAGAGATTAGCTACTTAAATTCTGTTATACCCATAAAAGAGCCATTGAATACTGACTAAACTCCCAGGAAACATCAAGGCAAGTGGTCGGGTCCCCTCAGTGCAAACCCCCTTCCAAGACTAAGACTCAATGGAAATACACACTGTGATTGGTGACCACACACCGATAAGGGGAAGTGAGGGAAAAACAGCAATGAAGCGGTGAGCTAAGCCCTACAACATTCAATAGACTTCTGTGAACGTGGGTGAAGACCTGGTTGGCCAGCAGTGTGGCAAGACCTGGGGACTCTTGGGCCCAGAATCAGTGACATAGCCACAGAGGACTAGAGTGGAGAGTGAAGTGCCCAGCTGATAAGAAGAGAGGGCATATGCATAAGAACACCCACACTTGCAGATAATACCCACTTATCCTGGCTTCAGTGACTGGATGATCAGAGCTCAACCAGAAGTAAAAAGAAGAGGAAAAAAAAAAAGTATTCTCAGAATTTGATGAACTTGACCTACACCTATGGAGCAGTAGCTCAAAAGAGGGAACAAGTCCTTACAGCAAGAATCATTCCCATCCCCTCCACACACAGAGTAGACAGGGATGGGCAACTTGGACATTGGCTACCCAAAATGGGGGTGGGGGGCTACAAAGGCAAGAAGTGACTGGCTTACAAGCTTTCAAGAAGGAACCTAGATCCAGAGGGCCTGGAAGAAGGTAGAATCTCCAGTGAGTAGTATTCAATCTGACTAGGCAGGGCTGATGCAATGAAATGCAGAAAGGTCTCTTGTGATACAATAGTGAATAATTGTTATCAGTACTGATCGTGAGGGTCAGAAATGTAAAGGTAGATGTTTTATAGCAAGGAGGGGAGTGATTAACTTTTCAGTCTAGGAGCAGAGGTCCCTAGGACCATCAAGGGAGAAGAGCAGAGAGCGGGACCCTACCCAGAGAAGCAGTGATGCCTGAAATGGAGCCAGAGATGGAGTGATGCAGCAGCTGGAGACTTTAGATCCAGAGAGGGCGAGCGACTGTGTGCTGAAGACCTGGGACGTATGGGGGAAGGATTGCATGGAGGTGATTATAACTATGGCAATGAGATGATATAAGATAGAATGAATGTAAAACTAATGTTCTCCCATGTAAACTATCACATAATTCACAATAAGACATTAAAAATAAAAAAAAAGAATACTGTCTAAACTGCAGAAGGTGTCTAAGTTAAGGCCTTAATTCTGCAAACATTTCCTGTTGCTAGAAAGTAATCATTATGTGCAAACAGGTATCTCAGTGAATTTTTATATTTGAAAATAGGTGATATTTGGTGCATTTGAAAGAATTGGTATATTACTTAGGTGAGACTAGAGTTTCCTGCTGAACCTTAGTTCTCATTAAAAAGAACCATGATACTATGTGTCTGCTTAAATTAGAGATTGTAAATTGGCATATTTGATAGAAGGATATAGCTTTTTAGGGACTTAGAAAAGATTGTATCACTTCAATCTTATTTTAGAAGTAGTACTATGGATTGGCCAAGTGGCAGCATCGATGGACTCAAGACTGGCAACAGTAGTGAGGCTGACCCAGGACTGGGCAGTGTTTCATTTTGCTGTGCATAAGGTGGCTATGGGTTGGTACTGACTCCATGACACCTAACAACAACAACTATAGAGGTCTGAGCCTGGGGCCTGGAGCCAGACTGCCTGTTTGAATCTTATATCACTTAGCTAGAGCCCTAGACAAGGTACTTCTCTCTGTGTCTCAGTTTTCTCAAATGTAAAATTAGGATACCTGCACCTAACTCATGTTGTTGTTAGTGACTCATAGTGACCCTGCACACGGTTTCTGAGGCTGCAAATCTTTACAGAAGCAGAAAGCCTCATCTTTCTCCTGCGGAACTTTGTGAATATTAGTTAATGCATATAAAGCTCTTAGAAAAGTACCTCATACACAGCAAACACTCAATTGTTAATGTAAAAAATTAATGGTGTGTAAATCAGCTCTATTCTGGTTACAGAATTGTCTATATGTGTAAGAATATATGTATAAGAAGGGTGAATCTATTTTTAAATTACCGACCATATATCTGTGAATGCTGGGTTCTTTTATTCTGGTTTTCTCTGGACACTTACAAGTCACTGAACTTTGTTCCATCTTGTAGTTTTGCTTCTATGTGTCTCACACCACCCTTGTGACTTTCCTGATTGTATCAAACAACTCTATTTTCAGGGAGGAGTAAGTAGGCGTGAAAACACTCAAGTAGCAAAGGTCTTGTTGACATACAAATGCTTTCTCTGGATGAGTAAGAAAAAAAAAAAAAATCCCACAGAGTTATTTTTAGTCTGAATTGCTTGAGCATTGGATATTTCTTAAGCCACGGACTTGACAGCACCTAATGTTAACAGAAAAAGCTTTCCCAGTGCCAGAGTGGGGTTATCACACACCCAAATCAGATTCCGTGTGACTAGAAGTGCATTGGTACCAAGTTCTTGACCACTCTGGGAGGGACTGGTTTCTTGACTAAATTAAACTTATCTCTGGTCAGGGGGTGGGGAAAACCAAAAACATTAATTGCTGTGTAAAAACCAGATGTTTGGTGTCTTTCTTTAAAAGTTTTAGTGAAGGTTTGCAGACAAGATCATCAATTTCACATTCAGCAAATCATTAAATTCTTTTTGACAAATACTCTAAGATCATATTAATAGAAAACAAAGTTTTTACTACAGTATTTATCAACCATGTTATTTTAAGCCTGCCTTCATGCATAGAAATGATGGATATTTGAGGAAAGGAATTAATGATGGAAAACTTGAAGTGCCCCTCCAGAATACTTGAATTTTCTCTATGGCACC